TCTGCCTTGTTTGCGGAGATGGACTACAACAGATCTTGTTCGGCTTTACTTAGTTGCTCGTTTAGTGTTTGAGAATCTTGAATTTTGGAAGAAAACAATGAATGGTAATTAGAGTTTGTATGTGAATGAAAGATGAGAGAAATAAGATAGATAAAGTGCTGCGATGTATTTATGTGATAGATCTGGAATGAAAATCTCTCTGAGAACAATTTAGGGGAATAAAAAACAACTAATTCCTTTACGGAAAATAAAATGAAAAGGATAAGTATGAGGGGTAATTATCTATAAATGTTATCTATAAATAATAATGGAAGGGTGCGAATTTTTAGTAAAATGCTTTAACAAATTAACAAACTAATGTGATATGCAATCAATTATTGCTCCGTGATTATAGTGTTACGTAAAAAAAAAAAATCTATTAATGGAAACTAATTAATGTGTTAGAAAATTGACCAGAAAGTTGACCTACTATTTTTAAAAAATGGTAAATCTGTTTATATATATATATAGATTTGAATTTTGCTACTATTATGCCATGAGAATATTTCAATTAATGTTTTAATGCTATATTTTATAATGTGGTGTGTTTATCGTTTTTTAAATACCGTTTTAATATATTTCGATCGTTATTGATGTATTTTCGATCGGATAGTTTCGTTTTCGATATTACCGAAATACCGATGTCGTTTTCGTTTCCGACATTATCGTATCATTTTCGTTTTCGAGAAAAAAATATGAAAGTGGAAATGGTTGAGCCCTATGCCGACCGTTTCCGATCGTTTTCATCCCTAGTTAAATATAATATAACAATATCAAAGATTTTTCGATTTTAACACGAAAAAACAAACAATCAATCCACAAACACACATCTAGCCAAATGAATAGAGAGTAATATAAATAACATGAAGGAAGAACATAAAATATTGACTGGACGATAACATTATTGAATAAGACGAAAGTTCATATCGATTCAGATTTATCTCCGGGGGAGGGTGGGCTACAAATTGATATTGTGTGCGTGTGTGTGCGGATTCTTGAAAATGTTGATGAATTTAAGACGAGTTTCAGAAGGAATATTTGTTCATTATGTACATGAGAAGATAGAGTTCATCAAGAATTAAAGAAAAAAAAAATTAATCCGAATCAATCTGCCCAGTATAAATAAATTTTGCAATTTAAGAATATTAGGTGGTTTAAATGGAAGATGTAATTATGTGTAGGGTCAATGTTAATAAAGAGCTACTTAAAGACTTTTTATGTAAATTAATACAAGTTTTACTTAAGTAATGGGCATTTTAGACTTTGTACAAAGCTCTAGGGACACTTGACATTATTTTAAGGTATACCTAATGTTAGTTATGTACAATCACTTTTGAAGCCTATCTGATCGTAGAATCGCCCTTCTTAATATCCTTCATCACGACAGAAATAAAGTATCCCATCCGCAATTATTCCTCTATTTTTGTATTATTATTATTAGTTCTATTTTTGCATTACATTTTTTAGTATCATTATTCATCTATAGAAATGAAGTATCCCATTTTTTTTTTTTTTTTGGTGGAAATTCTATAGTTCAAATTTTATAATTACCTTTTTCTGCACAAAATTTGTACACAACGATTTAATAACATGGACAAAAAAAATGATTTTTTTTTGGGAAATTTACAATTTGAAAATTCAGTAACGAATGAAGGACAGTCAAAAAAGTTTAATTTATTTTTGTAAATTTTACAAAACCATCAAGCAAACAAGTTAATGAACCATCAAGCAAACCTTGGAAAGTAGCATCGTGCACAAGCCATGAGAAACCATAACAGCACGTGACAAAATCACCAGCAAAAAACATAAATAGAATTCGAAATTCATCTTAAAGAGCAAATGTGAAGATCATAGTAAAGCAACACTGCCTCAACTATTAGTGGCTTAGGAAGGAAATGCAATACTCTGCTCTCCAGCAAACAAATCCTTCCCCCTAAAACACTCCAACTTTAGGCAACAGAATCTTTTCGAAAGTAAATCTTAATGAGCAAAAACACGATAAAGGGAATTTTAGGAGGAACATTAATTTATGCACCCACAACTTCAGTCGGCTCAGCAATCGGCTCATCAGCTGGCCTATCCAACTTCACACCAATCTCTTCACTAGTATCACCATGAACCTACAGAACATTGTACACACACATCCCATTGTTTACGCTGAAGCTAAAAAAATTGAAGTTTGCCCAAGCGAGGACTAAAATAATAGAGAACCAAGAAATATATCAAGAATTACCTCCATCAACCTCCCGAGGTCAAACTTGGGAGCTTTCAAGATCTTGACCTTCCTGATGAATACATTCTGCAGAGGGTAGATGCTTGAAGTTGCCTTCTCAATCTCCTTGCCAATCGACTCAGGGATAAACTTCCGAACCAACTCCTTGAGATCACATGATTGTGACTGGTTAACCATGATTTCCCTCATCTTCCGGCGTATCTAACCAGAAAACAGGGAGCATATAATCAATGAGTGAGAAAAAATAAAAAGAAGAATAGCTTATAATAATAAGAAATATAATATTATGCAATCATTTAAATATATGCAAAATATGTACTTGACGGATCTGGCTAGACTGAGCATAGCATGTTCTCTTTTGCTGGTTGACACGCTTCTTGGTGAAGGCAATGCAGAACATCCTCAAAGTATAGTTGTCGGTAGTCTTGACATCAACATGAGCCTCAATTAGTGACTGCCATTTCCTGACAAGAGACCTCAATTTGTCTGTAGTAAAGTCCATGCCCTAGGATATCAGAAGAAAATGAAATACATTACAAATTGATCCAGCAAAAAAACAATTAAACATACAAGATTTTTGTAAATCTTTAGTATACCCAGAAGTTTGTGAGAACATTCTTTCCCTGAACATCCTCAGCTCTCAAACGAATCTTCCTGAATGCGTGATCCTCATCACCTTGAAGGTCAGCCAGTGAAACCTCGAATACACGATGCTTGAGTCCTTCAGAAGCAATCTGAAAGCAAATACTACTGAATTTTAGATACTCACAGAATATAACAGGCAACATAAATACACCAGCAAAGGTAGCAACAATGTTGAAACAATTTATTATAGGTTCAGCATGATAGAATACAGTACCTTCCAATATATTTAAATCTAAGCATAAAGTTATGATATAAATTGAGGTTTAATTGTATGTTTAATTGTAACGCAATGCATTGCCACAACTCAACAACAATACAAGAGGAAAGCACGGTAATTTGTAAGATCAATTAGACCAAGTAACAACGAAGTTATAAATTTCTGTAACGGCTTCCACTAAAAGTGCGTGAAGTATGGCAGTGCGGCAGACAACCATGGCGGGCGAAATGGTGGGATTTCATTTGGCAGCCATTTTTCACCATCCTCCATTGATAACATCGGTAAACAATATTAAAACACATCAACTTGAAGCTTGAAAGTGACTTCTAACATCTACCAGCCATTATTCAATATGACAATGGAGTGTCAAATACAAAATCATTTCCTCTTGCATATAACCTTTTAAAGAACCAAAGATATGGAAAGCTATAGCCCACATTTCTGCAATTTTGTCTGTCTAGCCATATATATTTTTAACCATAAAAGCACGAGTTCCTTAACAATCACCAATATCCAAGATTCAACTGAACAAGTTAAAAGTACATGATAAGAGATAAAAGCTTCAAGTAAAAATGTCAGAACGTAATGAATCAACATTGTTCCTTAATTACCTTAGTACCCTGAGTTCGAGTGACTAGTGTTTTCCCAATATTCTTGGTGTTAAACAATGACGGCGCCAATGATTAGACAAAGTAAATAAAATAAAACCTTGTAGCCAATGATTAGACAAATGTATTATTATAACATATGAGAAATGCTATAGTCTCGTTACAGAACCATTTCATCGGGATTTGTAACCGTCGTGAATAGATGATCTAACGGACCGTAGAATCTCCCTCTAACATATATACACATTTACACTCATATTTTATATTTTAAATACAATATATATGGACATATGATATGATTCATATGAAAAACACAATTTTTTATAAAAATAATATATTTTTATAAATTAACTGAAAATTATAAAGTTGACTTGAACACTGATAAGAATCATGAAAACCATTCGTACCTTGCATCAATAACATAAAAATGGTAAAAAATCTTTAACAATTTTTTTTGTGGTATTTGTAAAAGTATAGTGAAATAATAGGACTTTTTTGAAAATAAAAAAAGGAGTTTATCTTGTCTAAGCAAAGTTGCCCAACGGGTAGACTGTAGCCCAGTGCTCCGACACCACCTCCTCCGCCCCCATTTTCTCTC